TTGGAGTTTCTCTGCTGGCTTCCAGGCTTGACTCTTTTTCTTGACACACCGACACACATGCTTGCTTTCAGTTCCTTTTTATAAAACAAACTCTCCAGTTAACCCCCCTTCCCAGGTAATACCAAAACTCTTCCACAGCATCATTAAGAAATTATTTTGGTTTATAAGAATTTCGTCTTCCTTTCCCTTTTGCTTTTCAAAAAGCAAAAAAAAAAAAAAAGTATGGATAGAGAGAACAGAACAATAAGCATTTGGGAAGCTATCTTTATAAATAAATGGATTAAGCAAATTGCGATGAGCCAATATGCAGCGGATAAGTGTCTTCAGATCTGGGGACTAGAGGAAAAGTTCTGGAGTCCCAACTGAGTCCTCTGACTTAATTAATCATTGTTTGACATTTGGAAATCTGGATCCCATCCCCTCTACATGCTATGAGACGGAAGAAGTATATTGTCTGGACTCCGTTGTGGGCACTGCTCTCTTCTTCCTTTCAGGCACAATTCAAGTTTCTAATGAAACCTGCAAAAACCTTAAAAGGCCTGCTTGAGAGGTCCTGTCCCTTCAAAATGTTTAAGATCAGTCAAGGTGCTCTTTCAGGTTCAATATTCATTTATTTATTTAGCAAATTTATATGGCCGCCCATCTCACACAACAGGACTCTGGGCAGCGTACAAACCCAGCAACCATTAAAACCAAAAAGCCAATCTTAAAACACTGAACATAAAGCAAAATAAAATCATGAAAAAGCCAGGATAGCGGGAGAATAACAGTCACCTAACATCATACAACCACCTCGCAGGCTCATTCAGATGAGGGGGCAAACAAGAGCCTGTTTTGGGTACTGACTATTGAATATCCTTGCAGAACAAATCTCAGAATTTTGCAGAGGTGTACAAGTTCTCACTTGGTTCTTATTGCCCAGAAATAGGATTATTTATGGTTAGTTTTTCATATTTAGGTTTTAACACATCAGTTGTTATCACTCAAATTTTGTATAATTAAATACAATCAAATAAATATGAATAAGCACGCCTATGTATATGCACTACAGAACCATCACAGATACATCAGATCATTGGTCTCAACTTGGCTGCAGTTCTAAAAATATTTATTTAAAAGAAAGTTCAGCTGAAATCAGTGGTGCTAGCTTTTGGATAAACAAGGTAAGAATGTGCTGCACGTTCTCAAGGCAAAGGCAGAATAAAATAAAGAGCAAAATAAATATTTGTCTCTATTTTTCTTCTTAGTGACAAGTATTATAGATGTACTCAATTTAATTAATACGCGGATGTAACTCCACAGACGTCATGTAAGTCAGTGGCTCCCCACTCCACTACTTTTGGAAAAAGGAGAAAAAATAAAAAATAAAAGCCACAAGCCTCTGACACGCTGAAACATCCCTTTCGGTTTCATTTATTATTTTAAAATCTCCTGTAAGACTGAAGTTCAGTGCCCATTAGGAATGCATTTCAAAACTCAGCGGGGCTTACAACCGAATCAGTACGAACAGGATCATTCTGCAGATGTATTAGAGAGCTTGTTCAGCTAGTGCCAGGCCAATTATTCTTAAGGGCCAAGTGTCACGTGGCATGGAACAAGAAACAGCTGATAGAATGGACATCTCTTTCACAAAGGTTGCCTTGCAGCTGTAGGAACCTTTTAAAGGTTCGGGCTGTCCCCCTGAGCCCGATAGTGCTTTAGTCAGTAGAGACTGACTGACTATCTATGTAATCAGGTCTCTTGGCAAATATTAAAGCTGTAATCAAGAACTGGATTTAATGGCCTGTTTGAATCTTTAGCAGCTCATTGGGTCTCTTGCGATAAGCAGATCTGGTGCCTCCATGTATTTTAATCTTGCTGCAAGGACAGGATTTAAGGTATGTAACTCCTCCTGCATGAGTCTTCTCCAGCCTCTCCTCTCAAGAGAGGCCTTTTTGTATGTCCCTATTCTCTCCAAGGTGCACTGGTGAAGATGTTTTTCAGCTCTGACTGTTGTAGCATACATTTTTTTGAAACTCATTACCTTTTAAGAGCTTTAAGGCCACATCTCTGGTACAATTTCACCTCCTACAGAAAACTTTTTTCTTAGGTCATATTTTTGGTATATACTGTATTTTAGGTTATTTTAACTGGTTGGGGTGCGGCAAAGTTTTGAGGAATGGCAATGCTCCTGAAAATGGGGAAATAAATGGGAAAATGGGAAATAAATGTTATAGCTGGGATTCTGGAATTTTGAAGAAAATAATAGCCTGAGATTTTTGTCACACGTACGAAATGGGAGAGCAGGTAAAGAAATGTTCAGAATCGAATCCATTATTAGAAAAATAGCGGTTCCCCTTATCACGTGCACTGTCAATCCAGTTTTGTCCAAAGACTGCTCCCTGAAGAAGCCCACCTTGGCTAAATCTAAGAAGGCAGCACATTTTAGAACGGTGTTTCTCAACCTTGGCAACTTTAAGACAAGTGCTGGCCAGGGAATTCTGGGAGTTGAAGTCCACTCGTCTTAAAGTTGCCAAGGCTGAGAAACATTGTTCTAAATATATTTAGCGCTGTAAATTATAAACATTGTTTCTTATTAAAGCTTTGCTATATATATGCACTTCTGTTCTATTTTCCTTCTCCATTTCGGTGTCAAACATAATTAGGCATGCTCTGTATGTTTTTTGTAAGCAGCAGAAAATTAACACAGATTTGTAGGCTTTCAGTGACATGTCTGTTTCCAACGCAAGAGAGTCTTAAGTGGAACTGAGTAATGCAAGGAGCAAAAATGCAGGTGTTAAATTTAAATGATAAGGTAAAGTAGGCAAGAGATGGAGCACTGAATTTCATTCTTTTGTGGGAGGATATGAGCGATCACTAATTAGTCAGAAATTAACTGGATGGCCTTGAAAAACTTACTGTATTCTCAGTTGAGATTCTCATTGTGAAATGAAGAATCATCACAGTGACAAAACAGAGTTGCTGAAATACTGTAAAGATTTTTATTTGCTAGAATAATACCTCCCCTTTCCTCCAGGAGGCTTATATGAAGCGATTCCTTCATTTTATCTCCATTAAGAGCAGCCATAGGAGGTAGGTTAAGCTGAGAGAGTTACTGGCCTTGAGTCACTAAGTTTCAAAGTCTGAAGGTGGAGCTGAACCTGAATCTTGGCCAAGAACCTTTACCACAAAAGCATAACAGCTAATGCCCAATGTAGAAAGAACTTGACTAACAATTGTTTCACATTAATTTGAGAGAGTGGTAGAAAAGAAAAAAGGGGCACAACAGACATGGACAAAAGAGAAACAGAAGTCTACCACTAGGGATACCTGATTGAAGCTACCAAAATCCAGACAACCACTAGATGGAAGCAAAGAGAGATGGAAAAGGGTCTTTGTTGCCATCTAGCAATCCTCCAAAATTTTGCAGACCAAATAGTCCCACGCACCATATGCAGCAGAGGCCCTCCCCATGCTCCTGAAGGCACCCTGAGCTCACAGAGCTGCCTCCAGTCTGATAACAGTTTATTTCAGGCAGCCATATACACCTCTGCCTGTACATATTTCCAATTCTTCTATTGTGATTGGAAGGACTGTCTCACTAGCATGCACTCTGCCTCACAGATCTTGATCTGCAAACTATGGCAGTAGGAGTGACACAGAGTCAGTGGGCGGCATTTGCTTTTTCTTGGGAATGACTTTCATCCTTAATGGTTTGCAATGTGGTAAGGCTCAGAGAAACAGGCATGAAGTTGAGACAGATGATTTAACAAAGATGGTGTTAAGAGAACTTCTCAAAGTCTTCTATATTACATACAGTCCATGCAGTCCATTGCTCTTATATATAAGTGTGTATGTATATATCTATATATATTACCTAGGCAGAAGTGCTAGTGTTCCATTTGAAATGTTTGTGTGAGATAAATTCAAGTAAAGGAGAGCTGAACAACCTTCTGCTACAAGTCTGATTAATTCATCCTGTTCAGAAAGAAAAGCCAGACTTGGTTTTATTGTTTAAAGTGGGATACAATCATTCTGTATCAACAGCTATTCAAGTGATTCAATACTTTAACAGTTAGAAATACTGTAATGTTAAAACACCGCCACTACATTCCAAATTAATTGCCCCAAGCAATATATTTTAACTGCAACAAAAATTGTTGGGTCCCCTTAAATTTTGTCATTCCTGTTCTTAGAATAACTTTCTCTGGAGGATCACCTCAGTCCAAAGATCTTCATGTATAACAATGGGCTACATAGGTTTAACTATCAGCATTTACATTATCCAGTTAAGCTTATTGTGGTGGGACTGCCTCTGTTAAGTGTTCGGAGAACAGAAGCTGTTCAGAACAGTGAAGTTCAACACTTGTGGGCTGTAGATTTGATCATTAAATGTCTAAGGCCATCCCAAGCTGGCATAAAACTAGGAGTTGCCAATATATTTCTAGAAGAGAACTTTTCTTTCATCTTCAACTGAAACACTTCAATCAGTTTCTAGTTATGCACCCAAACAATACATTCTCTTTTATTCATATAAATACAGTATGAAAAGATGCTGTCTTCAGTATATAAAGGTGAATATAGAATTTCAGCTATCAACTTGTATTTCTTTCCACTAGTAAAGATGCCTAATGAGTTGGTATTGCTTTCAGACTACCCCACCCCCCGCCAAAATCATACATGTTCCAAAATAATGATGTTAATATACCAATAGTATTAGCTAACAAATGGAAATGTTTTTATAAAAGCATTTTAAGAAATATTGAGGCAAATCATCTTTGAAGCCTCACATATTATAATCCTCCAGGTTTTCTAAAAAATATATCTGTCTATAAAAACCATTGTTGAAATGGAATCTATGTGTCTAAGCTCGTCTTGATTACAAAGTATGGTCAGTTTTTATACCCAAAGCATATTTTATATAATGTTTCAGAGCCTACAATTTCTGCAGAAATTAATATTAGAACTTTGGTTTTCCACCTTGAAGTTTCTAACTTCATCTCACATTTGTAATGGTAATACTTACATTTAATCTTTGACATTCAGAAACATTTAACTCTTGTAAATTCATACACTGACCTAAAATAGAGAAATCAATAGCTTGATTTTATTGAAAAATATGAGGTAATACATATCCAGTACTTTTTATTAAATCAATCCCAAATTGGCAATACAAGGGGAATAACAATATAAAGTTCAGTTACTGAAAAAATGAGTAATCCGATTTGACCAAAGAAAGATTTATATTACATTATTTAGAGGATGATCTATTTTAGGCATGAACAGTAGAACTTATTTAGCGTTAGTTATTTAAGGGTACTTGCCATAAATTAGATCCAGATTTAGTCTGGCTTAGAGAAAAGCAGCTAAATCCTTTGCTATGCATTCTCTACTCGTATGAATGAACCGCCATATGTATTCACTTAATTAAATCAATGGGAAAGAAGAAACACAACAGATTCCTCAACAAAAATGAGAAGATTTACATTAAACAGGAAAAAGAACTAAAGCAATCTTTTAAATAGTATGTAGTTGAACACATATATGCACATTCAGAGAGAAAAAAATGACTTGGTTAATATACAACCGTCTGAATATGGACTAGTTTATTAGGTAAAAGAGCTTAAACTTAGAACAGGAATGAATGTTTGCACTACAGACAGTAGAAGGACATAGAATGAAAATGACAGCAAGAGATTGGAGAAGTATATGCTGCAGAGAATTGATATCCTAGTTGAAATCTTGAAGTACCCAAAACAGAAATAATAAATTTAGAGTAAGGTAGGCAACTTGTGGCAATCAAGATCTTTTTTTTAAAGTGGCTGAAATCTAGTGCCTCTTTCACCATGACTGCTGAAAACTGACATCATAATTTCCTGCCATTTTAAGCTATGAAACAGATGAAAACTCTCATGTAAATCCTAAAATTGTCATATCACAAGTACAAAAGGAAAAGAAACCTTTCCAAATTCACCCCCAACAATCTATTCTTGCTCCATGGCTTCACAACTCTCTCCCCCCACCAACCCCCCAGTTACTGAGTATAGTCTTTGGCCACCAAAAGATTCTGGCTGATCACAAATGTTTTAAAAAAACAACACTGCATGGTACAAGCTATCCTAAACTTCCCTATTTTTGGTTATAAATTCAATATTTTATTGAAAATAGAATTTTCTACATTGTCTACAGCAGTGTTTCTCAACCTCGACAACTTAAAGATGGTAGACTTCAACTCCCAGAATTCCCCAGCCAGCATGGAGTTGAAGTCCACCCATCTTCAGGTTGCTGAGATTGAGAAACACTGGTCTACAGCAATCCAAAATAAATGCTTTTAAGTAGGCAATAAGGGGCTCAATATTGAAACTGAAATGAGGTTATTTTTTAGATCCTGACTCCATTGAGAAAAATAATCAGCACACAATGGATTACCGTGATTTGTTAAAATAAACCACAACCAGCTGAGTTCACCAAACCACCCTAAATCAAAATGAAACATTTTCCTTGTGTGATTGGAGTCCAGTTGCAGGCAAGGGGAAGAAGGAAGACAAAAGGGGAGATAGTTGACACTACCTAAAGAATTACTCAGAATATTTTATTTATTTGCTTGCTTGTTTGTTTTATCAAATTTAGATTCCACCTTTCATTCTGGAGTTCAAAGTGGCATACACAGCACTCTCTCCTTCTATTTCCCTATAGTAACAACCCTGTAAAGTAGGTTTCACTGAGAGACAGTGACTGGTGCAAAGATACCCAGTGACCTTTAATGGCTGAGGATGAACTTGAACCTGACTGTCCCCAGTGCCAACACCTTAGGCACTATACCACACTGGTTTCTGTTTGACTAAGTTCATTGTGATAGCTTCCTAAAACTCTTTGGAAGAGTTGTATATCCAGCTCAAGGAGTGCCACTAGCCACATACAGTGGGGCAAAAAAGTATTTAGCTAGCCACCAATTGTGCAAGTTCTCCCACTGAAAAAGATGAGAGAGGCCTGTAA